AGCGGGGTGAAGGCCAGTCCCTCTCCTGACCTCTCCTGCAGCTTCAGCCCCTGGGAACCAGGGGGCCCAGCCGGAATACGTGTGGTACACTGGAACAGCCTAAGGAGATAGGGTTCTCAGAGGACACAGGGGTGCACCAGCTTTGGACGGTCTGTGGGTCGCCAACCACAGAAGAAGAACTCCTTCTGCAGAAGAACTCAGCAGACTTGGTCCCACACAGTCCTTCCTGGGGGCACCCAATAGTCATGGAGAGGAGGCAGGGGCTCTGGCTCCTAGTTGTGCAGGTGGAATCAAAGCTCCCTCCACTGGACATACCCTCCATGAAGGGGGCAGTCTGATAATGCTTGGGACACACATGTGTGTTTTCAATTGCTTTGCTGAACATCTGAAAAAGTACATTCTCTTTTTCTTCTCATGAATGCAGGCAGAGATGGGAAATTCCCCATATAAGTTGCCAGGCTTGGTACTGAAGGCAAACTTGGGAAGGAATAGTTTCCTTGACATTTTTTCTTCCCTCTTCTCCTCCGGCATTCTTGATTCTTTTTTTTTTTTTAATTTAATTTATTTATCTGAAAGAGAGAGCACAAGCAGAGGGGCAGACGTAGAGGGAGAAGCAGGTTCCCCACTGAGCAGGGAGCCCGACGTGGGGCTCAATCCCAGGACCCTGGGATCATGATCTGAAGTGAAGGCAGACGCTTAACCGACTGAGCCACCAGGCGCCCCCGGCATTCTTGATTCTATAGTAAATATTCAACCTCAAATGATCACAGTGTTGGGTGCACCAGTGGTTTAGCTTGACATTTCTGCGCACATTTGCTGTCTCTGTCTCTGTCTCTGTCTCTGTCTCTCTCTCCCCCGGGCCCAGTTTCCCCTCCCTGGCTTTCTCTCGCTCCCTATGGTAAGATAGTTTTGCTACAGCTTTCTGACTTGGCTAAAAAATAGCATAGCTGACGTGGGAAAGCCCTTCTGACTCTGTATCTACACGGAGGATGATACTCTTGCTCTTCACCCTGTCCTGAAGGGAATATAAATGGTGGAGCTCTTCTGAAGAATTCAGCTCACTGGGCTCTATCTGAGGAAGCTTGTCAGCCCCGAGGCAGAGACTCCGCGAGAGGATCTGGTCTCACCCTCGCTCTCCCGTTCTCACTGGGACACTTGCCTCTGTCCTTCAACATGCCTAGAACTTGGGCCCTCCTCTGAGGTCAGCGACATATTTAAAGCACTTGTCTTCATCCTGTTCCCATCAGTAAGATTTAGTTTAATGTAAGACATGAGGGAGGGAAATTCCACTCACTTTTCTTCTGGGAAATCAGCTGCTGCGTTTTCCAGACCCAAATCCCTTGCCTCACATTTCTGGTAAAATTCAAAAGTTCAAGATTTTACTGAAACAAAGCCACATCTTAGGCAATCAGGCATACCTCTCTTCATATCAACACGAAAGGCTCTTTTTTCTCCCCTCTTATGAAAAAGAGGGCTTGGGTGGCTTTTTGTTTGTTTGGTTGGTTTTTACCCCTTTAGAAGATTGTGACACCTTGAATTTTCACACACTTTTTAAAAAATTTCAAATTCTTGGGGCGCCTGGGTGGCTCAGTCATTAAGCCTCTGCCTTCAGCTCAGGTCATGATCCCAGGGTCCTGGGATTGAGCCACATCGGGCTCCCTGCTCCGCGGGAAGCCTGCTTCTCCCTCTCCCACTCCCCCTGCTTGTGTTCCCTCTCTCGTTGT